ACATGTTCCAACTTCTGATTATTAGTAGACTCTTGCCGCTGTTTCTTCTCACCTTGAACTGTGCTCCAGCAGCGAAGGAAGAGCCTGAAGGTTCCACTCCCACAGATTCACGTCACCATGGCCCACTCTTTTTTGTGAGAGCATTTCCTCCTCATTTTGAATGCTTTCTGACTGGAAGGGCCCATTCTCTGGCACTGACTCCCACAATGTTCTGTTTTCATTTATTAGGCATTCAGTAGCTGACAATGTTTCAAAAGTATCCATAAGGTTTTCAGTGGTTAACTTCGTTCAAAGTGGGTAGCCAATTCCATCTTTGTAGTCTGTTCTTAGTCTGGAAGCTTTGCTGAAATGTGTTCACTTTGGATGACCCTGCTGGCATCTGATATGCCAGTGACATAGCTTCTAGCATCACAGCGACATACAAGCCTCCACCACAGGACAAAGTAATGGATAAGTGGTGGCAGTCCATGGTACTTTCAATAGTCTTCACCAAAACCATCTTCAAATGCATCGATTCTCTTAGGTCTTCCTTCTTCAATATCCAATTTTCATATGTATATGAGACCATTGAAATACCTTGTCTTTGGTCAGGCACACCTTAGTCATCAAAGTAACCCCCTAGTTTTTCAACACTTTAAAGAAGTCTTGTGCAGCAGATGTAACCAATGCAATGCATTGCTTGACTCATTAGTCTCTTGACTGCTGCTTCTATGAACATTTTAGATCCAAGCAAGAAATCCTTAACAAGTTCAATCTTTTCTTTGTTTGCATGATGTTACCTGTTGGTTCAATATGATAGTTTTAAAAAAGAAAAAAAGAATTGCAATCTAAACCTCAAACCTTATTAACTCAAAATTTAACACATAACAATGAACTCAAAATGGATTGCTAATCTAAATGTAAATGTGAAACTATAAAGCCTTTAGAAGAAAACAGGAGAAATTATTCAGGAGCTAGGACTTCGCGAATAGTTTTTACACATGATACCAAAAGCCATCCATAAATTTAACTACGAAAAAGTGAACTTCCTAAGAATTCAAATCTTTTGCTTTGTGAATCACCCTGAAAAGAGGAAGAAAGGGCAAGCTCCAGACAGGAGAACATACTTGTAAACGACTATGTCTGATATGTGAGGGTGACCCAGGATAGAGCAGTGCTTTACTCTATTGTACATTGGGTCACTTTGAGTCAGAAACCACTTGATGGCATATAACTACATAATACACCTGCTCAAGGGCTCATCTCGAGAATCTATAAAGAGTTCTTAAAACTTCATAGTGAAGAAAAATGTAAATGCATGAAGTGCATAAGGCATTTCATTGTTGGGGATATACAGATAGAAAATAAGCATATGAAAAGGTGTTTAATGGGAAATGCAAATTAAGGTCATTAAGATATCATTCCGAGATAAACTCACTGCCATCTTCCAGGTGATATGACACATAGCAACCCTATAGGACAGAGTAGAACTGTTCCTGTGGGTTTCGGAAACTATACTCTTTACCAGGGTGAAGGGCCTCGTCTTTCTCCTGAGGACTGGTTGGTGGTTTTGAACTGCTGACCTTGGGATTAGCAGCCCAATGCATAGCCCACTACACCACCAGTGTTCCTGTAAGATATTATTATGTATTATTTCTTTTAACTCAGCTTTAAAAACAATGATGACTAATAATAATTTATAAATTTTCAAGGGGTAATGAGGGTTGCAGCTCAGGGAAGGGAGGGAAAAAATGAGAAGCTGATACCAAGGGCTCAAGCAGAAAGAAAATGTTTTGAAAATGATGATGGCAACATATGTACAAATGTGCTTTATATAATGGATGCATGGATTTTTTTTTGCATGGATTGCTATAAGAGCTGTAATAAGATGATTAAAATAAAATGATGATGACAATGGATACACTGGTGAGAATATAGAGAAACTGGATTTCTTCTACACTGCTGATGGCAATTTAAAATGGACCAGTTGCAGTAGAAAAAGTTGGGCAGTTTCTTTAAAAAACGAAACACACATACCATATGACCCAGCAATCACACTCCTTGTTATTTATCCCTGCTGAATTAAAATTTACATTGCACAAAAGCCTAAACATGATTGTTTAGAACAGTTTAATTTGTAACAGCCAAAGCCAGAAAACAATCGAAATGTCCTGTAATAGGTGAATGGTTTAACACGCCTACCCTAGAATTGTACTCAGTAACAATAAGGCACCAACTACTGATGCATGCCACAACTTGGATGAATTTTGACGGCTTAATACTGAATGAAATGAGCCCATTTCAAAAACAGATAGACTATATGAGAGTATACAATAATCTTGTAATACCAAAGTATAGAAATGGTTAAAAAGAAGGTTCCCAGGCGTTAGCCAGGCGATCTACTGCTAATGGAATAGTTCTATGTATTGCTTGAAGAGATGGTGGGACAGAATGGCATAGAACAATACAAACACATTTTAGCAGTGTTAATTTCCTGGTTTTAAAATTGTTTTTGAGTGATGTAGGGTATAACCAAAGGGGAAACAGGATGAAGGGTACACAAGACCTCCCTGTACTGTTCTATGAATCTACTCATATGATTATTTCAAAATAAAACGGTTATTTTAAATTATTTTTCAAAGCTCTCTCTTCACCTTTTTCTGAGCTATATTTTCGTCCCTTTTTCTGCGCATTTCCTCTTTGGCTTTCTCGCTTTTCTTTTTGCGCTTCTTTCCACTTTATCTGTTCAGCTTTCTCATAATTGGCCAGAATGCAG